AGCAATCACTTATTGTATCATTAACAATGAAAGTTGAATTTGTGGCATGCTTTGATGTCACAAATCAAACTTTATAGCTACGAAATTTTATCTTAGGACTTGGTGTGATCGACTTAATTACCAAGCCGCTAAAGATATTTTGTCATAACACCGCAGTAGTTTTCTTCTCTAAGAATGACAAGTACTCTAGTGGTTCCAAGCATATCGAGATAAAGTACTTGGTGGTTAGAGAAAGAGTTCAGAAACAACAAGTGTCAATTGACAACCTAAGCACCACTATGATGATTGCTGATCCATTAACAAAAGCTTTACAATGTAAAATATTTAAAGAACATATTCTTATAATAGGGCTTGTGAGCAAGTCATAAAAGATATGGTGATGCATGTTTAGGTGGATATTGTTATTGATATTTTTCTTGCTTAATTAAAGTTATTTGTTTCTACTATCCTGTTGACATTTATGTTTATATATATTATAGTTGAATTTAATAATAAGATTATCTTGACAAACAAATTATAGGGTCATTATGGACTATTTTAGGAAAGAGTAACAAAGTTGTTGTATATAGAAGAGAGAATAACATTGATGATATGCAACCGCTATGAATCGCATTGATGGTTGGACTTAATATAGTATTATTATGTTTATTAGATTTATTGACTTGTTTTAAATATTCATGATCATGTATAAAATACTTTTCAAAATTCTTTCGAATCCAATTAAGTAAAATTATTTTTAAATAAATTTTATTTTATTTATTTTGATTTTAAATATTTTTTATATTTTATCAATTAATGGGTCAAGTAAGAGAATGTTAGATTTTGTGACCCATTATAATTGGATAAGATATATATAATATAACTAATTAGATTCTGAGAACATAGGCCAATAGTAAAAAAAGTCTACTTAAAATATGATTCCTTAGGAGATAACCTTGATGGGAGGAACTCTCCTAATTATTTACTCTCACCTATAAATAGACAGGACCGTTTGAAACTAAATAAGAGGAATAAAGATTATAATTGAGGGATTAAAGTCTCTCTCAACTCTTTCCCATAACAATCAATTTAAGTGGTCATGTCAAAGGAGAAGAATAGATTAACAGTGATCTTGGATCTAAAGACGATGTCTTTGTAGATCATATATCTTTTTTAGATGATATCAAATATACATTGTAAAATCAGATCTAATTATTTAATTTTAATTTTAATATAAAAAATTATTTTCACATTTCACATAACATATTATAGATTTTATGCTAATACTTTCTATATCCTTCTGTTCCATCATGCAACATTGACAAAGTAACGCTTGTTTGGACTTTGCTCTTGTCAATATCACTGCACCGGGGTCCTTGCATATGACGTGTACCACACACATCAATGCTCAATAAGTGCACCAACACAGCAGAAGCTTCATGGCAGGGAAGCCATTCTTGACCAAGAAAGATGGAATTCAAAGTTCCACGTCCATGAGATAAGTACACTTCATCCATGAGCAAACACTCAGTCTTTGTACGAATTAGTATGAATTGTTTATGCATATTGTGGGGATGACCTTGTCCTTTTTGTTGGAACACATTAAATACATCTTCTCCATTTATGGAAGGATAAGAGAACAAGGACAGGAGGAGAGCCAAACACAACCACTGTGCATAATGCTGTGCTTATTTATTTGGAGCAGAATATTGGACACAAAAAGTATATCATTACTTTGAGTCGATATTATATTCTTGACAGGCTGAATAACTTGGTGGTACACATATTAATTGATATTTTATTTAAATGACAATATAAAGTAAGAAAAACATGTTTTATATAACTATATTTATTTTATAACAAAGGAGTTGCAAACAATTCTAATTGGACAAGTAGAAATAGTTCAACTCTATTCGTCATCATCATTATTATTTTAATAAGAGTGAATAATTCTTCATTTTTAGGTGTATCTATTCAAAATATTCATATGTGCAATAACAATCAAAGAAGATTAGAAAATAATACTACATATTGACATGGAAACAGTTGAGTGATATATATTATGTCTAGCTCATTACATAACGTTCTAATTTCTGTGTGTGTTTGATTATATATATATATACATATATATATATATATATATATGTATATATATAATTAAATCCTAATATCGAGATTTGTACCATAATTTTTTTTCTCGTGTTTGAAAGGTTAAGTATCTAACTGTAAATATTGGTAAATAATATAAGTTATTTAGTCTTTTTGCTAGCATGAATGATTATTTGACCGAGACAATATTCTGAATAAGAATAAATAGCGACACCTACTGCAGCTTTCTTTACACCCGCTATCTTGGAGCGACTCTCACCTTAGAAAGGACGCATCTCCAATGGTTCATGTATTAGGTTCCTCGGCTGTTGCCCAATGACGACAACTTCTTTCCTGTTTGGTGACGGGACAAGCAGACACTAAACCAAGAGAAGCTCCACATGTCTATTTTCAGACAATGCCACTCCAATTTACGTGCACGCCATCGTCCGATTAACCGCAGCCGTTAGATCAATAGATCTTCACAGTCCCGGTGACGCGGCACTCCTTTGTCTCATCTCGCCGCCGTACGTCATCCGCCCCGACTTCCTTGTCGCGGCCTCAGTCTAACTTTTCTTTGCTCCGGTCCCCATTCCCATCCATGTTTCTTCCATCTTTTCGAGTATAAATCACGCACCTGATGCTTACCAACGTTCGACAGCCACGCCTGAGAACCACCGATCTCCCACCCCACAATTCACGATGGATCCTTCATATCTCCAGTCCCAGAGTTACGACGAATTCTCGCCGGAAGATTCCTATCGCCTCCCCTTCGACGTCAACGACAGCGACGAGATGCTCCTGTTCGACACACTGGCGGAGGCCACCCCTTCGAACCCGGTCCTGGCAGGGGAGGGTCGACCGACGGGCGAGCCGTGCTACCGCGGCGTCCGTAAGCGGCCGTGGGGGAAGTTCGCGGCGGAGATAAGGGACTCGACGCGGGGAGGGGCGCGGGTGTGGCTGGGGACGTTCGACACCGCGGAGGCCGCCGCCCTGGCGTACGACCAGGCGGCGTTCTCCATGCGGGGGCGGCTCGCCGTGCTCAACTTCCCAGTGGAGCAGGTGCAGGAGTCCTTGCAAGAGCTCGAATGGGATAAGGACAACTGCTCCCCCATCATGGCACTCAAGAAGAAGCACTCGTTAAGGAGGAGGAGGAGACCTGCAGTGAGCGGGAAGACCAAGGTGGCACAGAGCAGGATACAGAGTGTCCTGGAACTGGAGGACTTGGGCACAGATTACTTGGAGGAGTTACTGAGAGTTTCCGAACTTGCATAACTCAGTAAACCTGCTCCCTGCAGCTCAAATCAAACTCCATGGAACTCGGATCCAGCTTTCGGTTCCTTCATCATTATTTATTCTGCTTGCATCATTACTTGGTCCCCCAAAATGATGTAACAGGAAAATGTATGTGTTTCAGATCCGTTGAATCCATGCAAAGATGAGCGCGATGGCTTTGCTTGCTTTACACCAAGTAATATGTAGATCTGCGGCTACTGTGACATGCATTATGTATAAAGTCCTATGACAGCGGAGATTCTTGCACATATTTGACCTACCATATGTCGCATCTACGGAACCCACGAGGACAATCCCATGTCAGAATCCGTCTCCATGTCGCTTTTCGAAGCTTTCACGTAAATTTTCTGACATAACATGTGAGCCAAACAGAGATATGGTCTTCGCTGATGAGAAAGATCAATGATGCAAGATGTGAACCAAACAGAGATATGTCTTGATAATTTTCTAGACATATCAATTACAATATCTTCTAAAAGGATTTTACCTTATTCTAAAATATCTATGATATTTTTCATCTTTCCAAAAATCCATGCCCTTTTAAATATCTTCCTTCATCTTAGATAATCAAACGAAGACTATCCTTGATTAAATTAAGCTAATTTCAATACTCTCCCTTAAGCTTAATTTTTCATTCATCCATCATGCTTAGAAGTGACTTAAACTCAGTAAATAGGTGAACTCCAAGTAGTTTGGTGATCATATTGGCTACTTTGTCAGACATGGATAAGTTCTAACTTAACTTTTTTATATTATTATGGATACTTGGTCTTATTTTTTTAAAAAAAATTATATTGAATCTCAAGAGCTTATTATTTTATCTATTTTTTTTAAAATTATCTACTTGGTCTTAAGTCTTGACATGACTTGGACCTGAAATAAAAAGTTAATTTTTTTACTAAGATAAATAGCATGTTTCCTGTCACAATATAAAATAAACTTTTTTTGCTTAAGTCCTATCCCTTTTAGGTACTTTTTATTCCATAAAAATTCTTTATAAACGTCTATTGCTGATATATACTCAATTTCAAAGGAAAACAAATCAACACATTTTTATAGTTTTGATTGTCAAGACACTTATCCCCCTGAGAATGATATCAAGTAATCAAAGATAGACTTTCTATAATTAATATCATCATATATGTCTCTGTGTAGTCAATAAATACAGTTTTTCTAGTAACAAAGCACAAACATAATCTAAGTGCCTTTAAGATATTTGAAAATCCACTTAACTACTACTTAGTATTCTTTTTTAGAATTAAAGAAACCAACTAATCACACCGCTACAAAAGTAATATTTGACAAATAGGTTTAGACGCGCTGATGTTAAATTTGTCAAGAACCTTTTGGACATATATCTCGTGAGATAAATAAAGTTTATTATTGTTCTTGTTACAAATAATTCTCATACCAAGAATATGTTTTGCTAGACCTAAATCTTTTTATAGCAAAAGTCTTTCTCAACTCTCCTTTTTTATTTGTAATTTTCTTAGTATAATGATCAACAATTAAAATGTCATCCATATATAACAAGAGAATACTAAAATTACTATTAAAAAAATATCTCACGTAAATACAATGATCAGAAATGCTCCTATCATACTCATGATCTCTTATAAAAAAAATAAAATATTTTATACAACTATCTTGGTAGTTGCTTGAGACCATACAAATATTGAATCTCAGATTTTGATGATGAAATTAATTGATAAAGTTATGAACTAATATGCATTTAAGATAAGTGACACGGGAAAAACTTTGATCGTGGACTTGAATCATGAAAGTAGAATCTAACATTGGGCCGGAGAGTATCATGTCGGATGATTGGTCGACGTGCTAGAGGATAGACTTTGTGCCATGAGTTTGAGCATCGGGCGAGAAGAATTGGGCATTGCACTAAGATGATTGGGTATTGCGGAAAGTCAACATACCGATTGGGTAATACATCGAATGAGAAAATGATGTACCGAAGGATCAAACAAAGTGCTAGATAAACCAATGACATGCTATATAACACAAGCTTCATGATTGTAATTAAGTCTTGGTCGAAGTTTAGAGTCTAATTGAGCTAATTTTGAGGTGTAACTATATAAACTCAATTAGGGGCCCATTAGGCCTAAGTTAGGGTTATTTTGGGCTAAGTAGAATGCCCATTCAATGACCCTTAGTTGGCCCTAACGGTGGCACCGCTTGAGGCTTGGCCTCCCAAGTTTGGGCGATGGTACCGCCTAGACTGGGCGATAGTAACATCGACAGTTAATGTTGCTAGGTAGTGGTACCACCCTATCATGCGATAGTACTACTAGAGCCTAGTTTTTGAGGTTTTGTCAAGCGATCATACCACCTAGACTGGGTGGTGATACCGCCCAGTGTCAGTCTACAAGTGGTGGTACCACCTAATATCCTAGAAACCCAAGATAAGACTCTTTTTAGCTCTAAATTTGAATCTATTTGGGACCTATAAATACCCTAGCTATTCCTGCTTGAAGTAGAAAGAAAAAAGAGCAGAAAGGGGTTGTTATTCTGAGTTGAAAAAGTGCTAAGTGTCCTCCTCCTCTTTAAGTTTCAAGCTTACTCTAAAAGAGATATGAGGCTTGTAAATGTTATCTCTTAAACCCAAGAAAAAGAGAAAGAGTTGTAAGAGTAGTTGATCTTCGTCCGTTGAAAGAAGATTGGTAGTGAACGTCGTAGCCCCGACGAAAGAGAAATTGGGAGTAGATGTAGGTCACGACGATTGAATCACTATAAATCTGGTGTGCTCTTTTCCTTTGCTACTTATTTTTATTACTTACTTAGCTGCTCACTTTACTTTACATTTACTTTAAGTCAAGCTTAAACACTTTCCGATATGGGCTTTATCGAAATAGTTTTTCTATATTGAATAAGTTTTCAAATCGACATAATTTTTACATAAGCACTAATTCACCCCATCCCCTCCCCCACCCCTCTCTTAGTGCAAATTTTGGTCATAACAGTTGGTATCAGAGCTAAATTTCTCTCTATTTAGTTTAACACCCAAAAGAGATGACTTTTTTCGGCTTTCAAGAGGGTCATTCTATTCATTCGTCCTCCTATATTCAATGAGATGGACTACACATATTGAAAAATACGTATGAGAGTTTTATTGCTTTCTATAGATTTAATATTATAGAATATTATTGAAAATAACTTTCAAAAAACTCTAGACCAATGAACGAATGGATTGATCTAGAGAAGAAAATATTTTCTTTAAATGCCAGAGCTATGAATGCTTTATTTTGCGCCTTAGATAAAAAATAATCATATTCCTTTATGCAAAACTGCAAATGAGATTTGGCACATACTAGAAGTAGCTCATGAAGGCACAAATAAAGTAAAAGAATCTAAGATAAATCTTTTATTGCATGATTTTGAATTATTTCGAATGAAGCCAAACGAAACCATTATTGACATGTACACCCGTTTTATGGATGTCATTAATGGCTTGAAAGCTCTTGGCAAATATTTTTCTAATCTTGAACTTATAAATAAGATTCTAAGATCCCTTCCAAAAAGTTAGAATCCAAAAGTAATAGTAATATAAGAAGCAAAGGACATGATCAATTTTCCACTTGAAGAACTTATCGGGTCTTTAATGACCTATGAAATGACATGTATTGCACATGACGGACTTGAGAATAACTTTTCAAAGAAGAGAAAGGATTTGATACTTAGAACAAAAGAAGACTACTTGAGCGAAAGCTCAAGTGATGATGACCTTAAACTCCTCACAATAAAATTAAAGAAGCTAATAAAATAAGAATTTAAGAATAAAAATGAACTTTAAAAGGACAAAACAACTTGCTACGAATATAATCGGCTAAGGCACTTTAAAAGCGAATGTCCGCAAGTGAAGAAGAAGCTACAAAAGAAGATAGCACACTTAAGGTGACTTAGGATAATTCGAGTCCATTCGAAGACGAGGAGCAAACCGATAAAGAAGAGGTGGCAAACTATGCCCTGGTGGCTTTTAACAACGAGGTAAGTGACTCAACCAAAACCCCTTTATTTTACTATGAAATTACTTAATGTATTTCATAAGTTATTTTTAAATTAGTATATAAAATATTAAAAAAAGGGATCATGCTTCTCTTTCTAGTTATTTTGAAAAATTAAAAAAATTGAATATGATAATGAAGAGTTATATTCACTTAAGAAAAAAAATGCATTACTACAACAAACAAAATGATTTTGATTGAAAATACTTTATGTTTAATAAAATCATGCTCGATGATATAATGATGCATGATGATTTGAAATAATGATGTTTTTTATAATTTATGATTTATTGGTACTCTTGTGATAAATCTTGTTTTTCAGTTTTAAACAATAATACATATTTTTGTTTTATAATTTATGATTTATTGGTACTCTTGTCATAAATCATGCTCGATGATATAAGTATGTTTGTATGAAATAAATCACATAAATTGAAACACATAAAAAAAGAGAATGCATTATTCTTAAAAATATCTCTATCCCTAAAATCTTATCGAGTTTTCAATAAGAGATTAATGAATCTATTTATGACATTTTGAATCTCTTAGTGATTTTGATGATTTGATGATTTGAATTTAAATGAGTTTTACCTATATTATGATCTTAAATTCTCGAAGTTATAACTTGATATTTTCTTTATATGAATCAAGACCCTTTACTCTTTATTCTTGTATGATTTTACATTTTGTTAAAGAGAATATTTATCCAAATGAATCATGATTTTTTTTTTATTTCTCGAAATTCATAACTTAAATTTCTTTTGAAGATCTTTTGCTATTTGATCTCCTAAGTTTTTTTTTATTATTTTAGTGGAGATTTATCAAAATGAATAATGTCTTTTGGTATTTACATGATCTTTGATATTATCTTTCATAATATGATTTTCATTATGTATAATTCCTTTGTATTTATGGTTATAAACCTTATATTATGAGTAGAGCATTGATTTAAAAAAACAAAAGTTATACTATTTTATTATTTCACTTTTCTTCTTTCTTGTTTATGATGACAAATGGGAGAAAGAAAATTACTAGCATATCAAGAGAACCAAAATTGCTAGCTTGAATGTCAAACTTAAGCATGTTAAATCTCCTAAATGCATAAATTCTTCGTATACATTTTTTGGATCATGATCTTGATTTCTCAATTTTGATGACT